TTTGGGCAGTCTTCTTCCTGAGCACTGCAGCTTGGGAGCTGGCACATTAAATAATCTTATAAGACTTTGGTGGTATAACTTTACATGATATATCTCCTGAAACACAATAAAATGTGCATGTATTTTTCTGTAAGTCATGAATTTTGAGGAATACTACCAGGACAAGAAAATTGTTCTGTTGTACTAGAGAGATAGAAACGGGCATTACAGGACTCAATTTACTGCAGTCTGTGTCTAAAATGACAAATATAGTATCATTGAAAAACCAGGCTAGAAAGAATATGCGTGAGTTTTAATATTAACATTTCCTATTTATCTACTTTAATGTATACTTCAGAAAATGTTCATTTCACCTCCCATAATTGTTTATTTAAATAAGCCCATATTTTACCTATTAGAGTCACATAATTTTTATAAGAAATATCTATTAATATTACTGTTGTCTTTTTTGGATAAATATGCTTATGAAGTTACACTACACACATGTATGTACATTTTTTTTACAAGGAAAATAACATGATAGCTTCTGCAGTAATTGCTTATACGTTAGGCATGCCAATTGGAATAACAAAAAACTATGTGACACTTTTATTTTGAGATCAGAAAAATTTGTTGCAACTCCATCTCTAGCAAAATTGTTTGAAATATATACTCCCTAGTTTTATAAAACAATAGAAGAAATGTTTGTGTTCCATGGAGTTAATATTTGTGGCATCTACTTCATTTTTGGCAGTATCATATGTAGTTATAGAGCACACTAAGCATTTTCAGTCATGTGACCAAAATTTGACACAGATTTCTTATTCATTTGGAATTATTTTCACAGCATGGCTTTTTATCTGGTTGTATTTTACATTTTTATAGTACATGGTTGCATAAGTGCAAAGAAAATAAATTGATTCCCTTTGATTATATACAATTCAGTAAGAGACCAGGTAGCAGAAAGCTTCTCTTTTGTCATTATCAGTGAAGTGAACAATTTTGAAAACTTGTCTAATGCTCATAAATGCTGGGATGTCTAAGAGGAAGTCAGTTTCTCTGTATTTTCACAAACATGTAGGTAGCATTCAGTATCAACTTAAACAGAGAAATCCCTAAGAGGTGTCCAAAGTAATTATCATTGTTCTCATTTGGGTCAGAACACATACCAAGTGAATTTCACCCATGGGGAAATTTTAGGAAATGAATATATTTCTAAATGAGAGGAAGGCTGTCTCTATACAACATGGATATATTCACAGGAACACATTAGATGTGTTTTCTCTCTGATATGAAAGGAAATTTTGAGTTTGGTAAGTCATCTCAACTCTCTGATATTCTTCTGTAAGGTAATTAATTTTTAAAATATTTATGGTTATCTCTTTTTACCTATACCCACTACGTTTGGAATTGAGAACATTTTCTTTGTCTCCTGTAATTTTTAGTGGCCAATTAATGTATTTTTCTGTCTCCTATTCCATGTGTTCAGGTGTCTATATCAGAATGTTATGATTTTCTCTATACAGCTAAGATTGTCCAAATATTGCCTAGCCCTTAATTGGATAAATAAAAGAGTACATTGTAGATAACTGACAGCATAGAATTAGGAGTAAAAATGAAAGCAAGTGGGAATTTTAGAAACCAGATTAAAAAGTTCTGCAAACTATTATCTGCTAGGAAAGGAATAGTTAATCTCTGGATAAATGAGTCTCTTAATTTTTTGTCAAATACAAATACCCAGTGGTTAGTCCTGAAACCATATGCAAAACAAAAAAAATGGACTCAACTGATTGTTTTTAAATGTATTTCTGCATATACACATACATAAACTATATATGTAATAATAAGAATCAAAGAAAAACCAGACAGCTACTTGAGAAGTAGCATGGGAAGGATAGGTGGGGCAATTATAAAGGAAAGAAAAGAAGGAAATTATGGCATTCCATTTCAATGAAAACATATTTTAAAAGTAAAGTGTATATACACCACAAACCAAAAAAAATATAGAAAAAAATTGACAATACAACAATCTTTCAGTCATCAGTATCTATCATATGGTATCTGCTCAAGTTGTGTAATTATGATTATAACCATGAATATAGAAATTCAAATACTGAGAATATTACAAAGTTTAATATTTTGATAGAAGGGCAATCAATACAGAAAAAAGCCAATAATGAAAAGCAGAAAAGAATGAATAGTTTGCTTTTAAAGTCCTAAGATTATTCAGTTTGCTAGTGTTCATTAATTTTTTTTAAAAATATTTTCATGTATAATCCAACTTTAGATTTTCTAGGACAATTGCTGCTAAGTAAGATGCAATAATTATAGAGTTGCTTTAATAGATTACTGTATTTAATTAGGTCTTTGAAAATACTGATAGACCCTGAGAAAGAGAAGAGAAGAGTAAAGTGGCTGTTATAGTCTCTAAAGTAACTGGCATGTTGAATGTATCTTTTCTATTTATATATTTCATGTTGCTATATAGTTATATCTCAACTTAAGTGCAAGTAACAATTATTTTTTAAAAAGGTGATTATATATATGAATCTGTGTTCAAATGTATATAAATACATATGTACAAATATATAATATGTTCAAATAAATACATATGTGCCAGTATGTACATAAATAAATGTACAGACATATTACACAATGAGTTCAAATTAACATTAAAATTTTTGGCCTTTAAAAACAAAATTGTTTCAATATACAATATAATATATGATGAATTGAAACAACTCATATCATTTTACTTTGGGTTTTTGTAAGGCTTAATGATTCCTGTGTGTATATTTTACTATACATTTTCATTATCCATTATTAAATTGAATGTGTAATGTTGTTTAATCTATTGTACTATTTGGTACTATTTTTACTAGCTTATCAATAATCACCAGGAAATAAAATAGTCTGAGCAGCATTGTTAAAACAGGTCTCTTAAAGCATGGTCACTCCTATGTATCAGAAAGTAGTTTTAATATACTTTATATTCATAGAGGTCTGATAAAGTAGTGTCCTACATCAATAATACTAGAAGACATAACTTAAAAGGCATTACTTGAGAGTTGGTTCTGCTTCACAGAAGAGGTCCCAAAGGACAGTCTGACATAGCTCTGTAAATGGTTGCTCTCTCTTCGTAATTCCTTTGATTAATGGCACAGTTCTATTATGGTTGTCAACACTGAGCTCAACAAACCCAATGGCAATAGGCATGCTATAATGGAAGGGGGAAAGTCCTAGAGGCTTCAACAAAAAATCTCCACAAACCTAAGTGATACTGAGAGTTAGAAAGGTAGACTTCCCATGGAAAGAGCACACCAATTGGCACTCCAACTACAAATGGTCAACTCTGAAAACATATGTACAAGAAACATCATATAGACTGAGCAGTTTATGCAGAGGAGTATGAATACACACACACACACACACACACACACATAAGCACACTTTTATGTAACACACACACACACACACCCCACACACACATGTATATATGCCTATATGTTAAAACAATTATTGTAAAAAAGAAGCCATGAGTATTAAGGAGAACAAAAAAGAGTATTTGGAAGAATCTGGAGAGAGGGAAGAGAAGCGAAAGGAGAAATGCTATAATTATAATATTAAAAATAAAAGTAATATACAAAAGAAAACTAAACAATTTAGATTAACCAGACACTTTTTGAAACGTTGAATAATAAAAATATTCAAGGAACATGAACTCTTTGCTGTATAATCAGTGTATTTTCCTTAGATATTTGTTAAATCTATGTAAGGCGACTGTGTTTACTTATCTGCCATCATGTGCCCATAGCAGATGGATATGTCACCTGATATCTTCAGAAATTTCTTAGTTTTCACACTCCACCTTTCTAAGTCCTTGAGTGTAAAATAATTCTGACAATTACTTCAGAGATTCAATTGTTCCACTGATTTAAGATAAAGTTGAAAAATTCCAAGGGAATAACTGTAGTGAGCAGAAATGGGTAATGACTATCCCCTGTCTGGCTTCAGTATTACCCATTAGATCAGTATAAGCATGCTGCCTGTTCTTTAATATGAATAATGTTGCTTACTGAAAGCATAATATCACACCTAACCAAGACTGACAATTAAAAGACAGCAACACTTACTTTTTTATGTAATTTATTCTGTTCTTAGAAGGTCAGTAGATAAATGAGAAAATATATTGATGATAGACTGATGACAGATGATGTGTTATTCGAATCAGGAATCTAAGGGCTCTCAAGAATAGTTTACAATTTCAGATCAATGATTTCCATGGCTAAGATTGAACTAATTGTGTCTTTTAGAGGTCATGTCTGAATATGCTTTGGTGTGTTCTTTGGTTAATCCATTCAAACAAGCATTTACAGTGGTATTTTGTTAATCAGTTTAGTTGAACAAGTAAATTCAATAATACATATTTACTAATGAATAACTGTGAATCTTATTTATATATTTCAATCTGGTATCTGTGTACATCTTAAATGATGTTCTGTTCTGCATGCTTCCTCACTGAAGTTATCCTATCATTTACATTCTAGTTTTAAGCTAAATTTTAAATTTAGTGATGTCACAGAAACAATTCTGCTGATGTCCAATGAAATCATTATGCATGGTGCCAGAAATGATAGTGTCCTGTCAGGCCATTTTCAAATGCAGCTCTCCACTAGTTTCCAAATTTACTCCTCATTTCCACTGTGGAATGCCATGGTTACTAGTGACAAATTCAACCATTTACTTAAGAAACCACACACATGTTTTTGCTGTTCTACTTCCTCATTTCTCTCCTATAACAGAAATTTCCTGATAGAGCATGCATGTAACAGTCACACCTGAAGCTTCTCAAGGGAGTTGCCCTTGGATCATTAGCTTTTACTTGGGCAGCAATATCAATCATATATACCTTAGATCTCTTTATATTTATGCATTTCTATTCATGTAAGTTTCAAAGGAAGTACAATTCCTCATGTGACTAGTTGGCAGTTTTCTTTCTTTGCAGGTTACTTCTAAGTAAAATGGATGGAGGCAATCAGTCTGTGGTGTCAGAATTTATACTTTGGGGACTTGCCCATTCACAGAACGTTCAGCTCTTACTCTTCATGATGTTTTTGGTACTTTATCTGCTCATTGTGTCTGGAAATATCATCATCCTTGTTTTAATCACCACCGACCCCCATCTCCATTCTCCCATGTATTTCTTGTTGGCCAACCTGTCCTTTGTTGATATGTGGCTTTCATCTATCACTACTCCAAAGATGATATCAGACTTTCTCAGAGAAAACAAGACCATTTCCTTTGCAGGCTGCATGTCTCAGGTCTTCTTTGCCCATTGCATCGCTGCAGGAGAGATGGTGCTGTTGGTGGCAATGGCTTATGACCGCTATGTGGCTATCTGCAAACCACTCCACTACTTCACCATTATGAACCTGAAAAGATGCACTGCGCTGGTGTTGACTTCGTGGATCACTGGCTTTATACATGGTATAAGTTACATAGTAGTGACTGTGCGATTGCCTTTTTGTGGCCCCAATGAAATAGACAGTTTCTTCTGTGACATGCCATTGGTAATAAAGTTAGCCTGCATGGATTCTCATGATTTACATACATTAATGAATGCTGACTGTGGAGTTGTGGCTGTAACCTGCTTCATTCTGTTGCTCATTTCCTACACATATATCCTTATCACTGTTCGCCAGAGCTCTAAAGCTGGTGCATCTAAGGCTCTGTCCACATGCAGTGCCCACATCACAGTGGTGATGATCTTTTTTGTTCCCTGCATCTTCATCTATGTGTGGCCACTCAATATTACCTGGTTGGACAAATTTTTTGCTGTGTTTTATTCTGTTTTTACCCCTCTCCTAAATCCAGCCATTTATACACTGAGAAATAGAGAGATGAAAAATGCAATGAAAAGGTTCATAAGCAACTTTTTGCATCCCAAAGGATCTTCCTTATAGGCAGACTTTTCTTTCCCACTTGTCAATTTCCAAATACCTGACAGGGAGACTTAATATTAAATATAAGTGCATGGCTAAATGCTCAATCTTATTACTAACTAGGTCATATTACATAAATTAACCCATTTAACAAATGTTTGTTTGACAAAGCTTAAAAAAGATTCTAAACACACAACAAACTGAGTCAAACACAGCTTCTTGGTAACTAGTGTTTTTTTGGTAGGCTCTCTTTGCTTAGTATGTAGAGGCTTGGCTTCTTTAAGAGAGGACTACTAGCTCACTGCTAGTGGAAAAATTGGTGTAGCTCTTTCAGAGGCCCTGCTACCAAATACTTAAATGGTGTTTATGAGCAGCAGGAGTCACAGTACTTGCTGCCAATGTGAACCCTAAAACTCCCCAGAGTTGGGGCATTGATTTGGCTATTGCCGGTACTCCACCATGAAGCTAGTCTCTCATGGAACCAACTGGGGTGGAGCCATCTATTAAAACAGAGGCAAAGGTCCTAGTCAGGTCCTAGTCATGACATTTAGCAGTTTAAAGGTTCATGACATGAAAAGATTACAGACATGCAAACAGATTCAGAAAGAAAATGACCCAGAAATGGATAATAATGTTTTTAAAAATGTACAAAAGATTGGGAGAGAAAAGAAAAAAGGATATAGGCAGTAATAATAAAGAAATGTATAATTTTAAAATAGTAAAATGCAGTCCTTAAAAAGGGAATAAAGTTATTTAAAAGCAAAAAAGCCACTTAAAGATAGGAAATATACAGAGACTCTGAATCCTGAAGTTATTGTGTCTTTGAATTTTTCAACTGCTAAGAGACACTGAATTATTTTTTTTGAAGATTTAAATTAGAAACAGTCTTATTTTATATAACAATCCCAGTTCTCTCTCCCTTCCATCCTTCCATGGCCCCCACCAACTTCCATCCCATCCCTCTTCTTCTCCATAGAAAGGGTGTGGCCATCAATGGGGGATCATCAAAGTCTATTACATCATTTGGGACAGGGCCTAGGCCCTCTCCCAGAGACACAGGACTATAAAGTCAGATAGATTAAACTAACCTATAAATTTAAACAAATTTTGACTTCCAAATTAAGTAAAAATGTGTGTTGCTTTGGGGTAGAGGTTATGCTTTTATTTCCACAGGAAATGAGAAGCTGTAGATTCATTCCAGGGTAAAGAAAATCAGGTTTGATATGGAAGAACCCCTGAAAATTCTGGCTACAAATATTAAAAAAAATAAACCTAGAAGAACTATATGGCATGCAATGTATATTTTATCTGTTCAAACATAAAACAAAAAGTCATCTTTTAACTGGCTTATGCACACCACATATTACATACTTATAATATATGTTACTTTTAAAAGTGTAAAAATTTTCAGGACAAAGGAACAAAATGCCAGTAAAAATAGGTGGCCCTATGGTAACATAACACTTCAAAATGCCTCTGTTAAAATTTCCTCAAAATTTTGCATTCAAACTAGCTTCAGGGCTGCTGGCTGAGATGGTTCAACATCATGGACTACTCCGCCTGGGATTTCATTATTATCCTATTTTTTTCAAGATTCCCTCGAATATACCAGAACACCCAGAAAACAAGAAGTATTTTATAGAAAATAATACCATATTCCCAAAAGATAGGTTATAGATGTTTATTATCATTTAAGGGGGTTGGTTATAAATTATTATTGATCATAGTCAGTTTAATAAAATAGTTAAATTAGAAGATTCTTTCTAGGATTAAAAGGGGGATGTGGTATAGAAAGGAAGAAATAAAATGGTAGATTAAGATTATTTAATCTACTTTAATTAAAAAACAACACAATTTCAAAATATTTTACATTGCTATGTACTTTGTTTATTGATACAAAACTAAAGTTATTTTTGTTATATTGTTATGTATGTTTCTGCTCTTACTTGAGGTATTGTTCTCATGAAGCTCATTTAAAATTATAATGTATAACTTAAAAATATAGGTTATTAGTTACTCATTGGTAATAATAAAACATGTAGTCACTTTAGGTATGTTTTTAAGGTTAAACAGACATATTTAGATAGATGGTCTTCAATCACTTCAAACACCTACAGAATATGGCATTAATACAATGTAATAATATGAGACTTCCCTTGACAGTGAGATATATCTGCTCCTGTCATCACGTCATCACCAATTATTTCAAAAGAAGATGATGGCATTGAAGAACTTCCATCCGGAGTTGTTTTCTTTAGGGCAAAAGCTATCCATTTAAGCAAATAAACTGCCTTCTTCTTAATTGCTAACAGTTAATGTTAGGCAGGAAAACCAGACGAAAGACTCTGGAAAGAAGAAATGAGGAGTTTGGGGAGCAACCAGGAAAAAGGAGTTGCGAGATGAAAGAGAGGTAATGCCACATTGTAGAATTTAGATTAATACAAATGGGTTAATTTAAGTTATAAGAACTATCCAAACTGAATTAGTAGGATGCAAAACAGTAACTGCCGAACTTTTTCAAGACAAGGTAGGACAGTCCTTTAAAATTCCCTGTCCTCAGAAATGTCTGTAACATATATCAGGCCTACAGGCCAGAGTTGGTTGCCTGTTCAGCATTACAGAAGAATTTAGGGTAATAGTCCAGGAAGGCAGATGTCCTGTCTATAGGTAACATTTCACTCTTCTGAGGTCTTTGATGGAGTTGAAGAGTAAATAATTAGACTTAAATATTTCCTTAGTTATGATAAAAAGTTAAATTAGATATGAAACTTTAGGCTCACGAAGATAAGAAATATTTTTTCTGATGTTGTCAAGTACAATTGGACTGGACACTGTAATTGTAATTCTTACTTGATAACTGTTTTGTTGTATACAATTTTATTATATTGAAATTAAAAACTTCCTTTTTTATTTAGACAAAACTGGAAAATTCTGTGGAATAATCCTTCTGTACACTGTGTGAATTATGCTGTCATTGATTTAATTAAGAAGGTGACTGGCCAAAATCTGGACAGTTAATGTTAGGCAGAAAACCAGACAAAAGACTCTGTGAAGAAGAAATGAGGAGTCTGAGGAGCAACCAGCCAGATATGGAGAGGAAAAAGGAGGTGCTAGATGAAAGAGAGGTAATGCCACATTGCAGAATGTAGATTAAGATAGATGGGTTAATTTATGTTATAAGAACTATTTAATAATAGGCCAAAACTATTGACCAAGCATTTATAATTAAGATGACTATCCATGTCAGTTATTTGGGAACTTGCTGGTGGGAAAGAAAAGTTGACCTATACTTCCTAATACCCAGAAATGTAAACTAATCATTTCAAATAATGAGACTGACTTTATGAAATGGATTTAAATTAGGAAGTATAATTTATATTTAAAAATTATACCAATCTTCTAATATAAAAATGATGTTTTGTTTTAAAAGTATATATGTCAGATCATGAAGCTAAACACTGTGAATCCTCTCTTCAAAATCTAAATATGAATGATAACTATATTTCTACATTTTTAATAAAGTTTAACTTAGCATTTATTGATCAAACTCATATATTTACTTTTGGAGTTAACGTTATAGTAAATTTTAATTGAATATTATTCCATACATCACTACAGGTCCCAAATAGTTTACTCCTTTTTCCAAATGGCCAACATCATCATTTTTGCCCCCTCACAGATATCTACCAAAACACTAATGGGGAGGGCAGAAAAATGTTAAGAAAAGATGAAACAAAATGATAAACTTTGGAAGGAATATCAGTGAACCTTTCTTTATATTTTTATTAGATAAGTATTATAATAACATTTATGAATAAAGTTTAATTAGATTTCTAATTTATCTCAATCTAGCAATAGCATCTATAATTTAAATAATTTTTTCATACTGTATAGTATACTGAAATTTAATCTCTATGAAGACTATGTCCATAAGTTCACTGACTTAAACTATTGTATTTAATTCAGTGGCTAACACATATGAAACAGTTAATAAAATACATTTGCAATTACACATATGCCGCTGTTGGTCCATGAGGTTGCATATGTACCTAAAACAGCAACTATTGCCTTTGTCCTTGTTTGCACACAATAAACATATGGAAAGATGCTGTTGATGAATAAACAGCATATACATTGGTTGCAGGATACAGAGAAATCAATATCAGTTTAACTGGGGAACTTCCTCTTATTTGATAGCATTCATGTTGTGAAAAGGTTCACAGGGTAGAGGAGTAGAAAATACTTCACTGTTCTTGCTCAACTCTAGACAATAATGGGAAAATACAAATTGACACGGTAAGGAGTATCCACTACTGCAATAATGTCATTATTCTGACAGGGTAGCCAACTGTAATTTGTATGCTTTTCCACAGCAGAGAATTTATTCTTGATACTGTAATTCTGGTTAAACTCTATTGCCATTTGAACATTAAGAGTTTCAGATCTTATCTAAAGTTTTTTTATTAATTCATCTGGAGTTTTTTCAGGATGAGAGATAAGCTTTTAATATCATTGTTCTCCATGTAGGCATCCAGTTTTCCCAACAATATTGGTTTGATAGTCTGTCTTTTCTGCACTATATATTTTTTTTGGCATCTTTGTTGAAAATCAGGTCATTCTAATATATTTTATTTAATATATTTATAATATATATATATACATATATATATATTCTTTAATTATATTTTATTCATTTACATCTTGGTAGGCGCTCATGTAATTACCATTATGCTTTCATTACCATGGTTCAGTAATGTAACTTTAGCTCATGTCTATAGTCCAAGGAACACTTTTCTTTTTGCTTAGGGATGTTTTGAATATCTTTGTTTTCAGATTGTTCTTGTTGGAGATCATTGCCATGTGACTGGTGATTTTTTTGGTGGGGAAATACTATTCTAATATTTTTTGTGCTTTTATGATATATGTTGACTTCTGGAGTTAGGCTATTGGATCTTTTAAAATGAGTTTTTAGACCATTTGGCTGAAGTCCCAAGGAAGAACAGTGAGTTGGAAGTTTAGTGAGATTTTTGGAGCAAAGTGAACAAAATAATAGGAGAAGTAAGAATGTGTTTAGATATGGTCATTTGTGCTTAAGGTCTGGCAGAGAGGGTTATGGTACAGGGTGGGTTGAGCAATCATGGAACAACTGGGCCAGACAGTTTGTGGCAAGTATCTTGGATGAAGTCTTCAGAACTTCAAGAGCCATATTTCTTACCAACACTGGCCATTTGGGCTGGGTCTTGTCAGAGTTCATTATGCAATAGGTACCACTGCAAGATATCCCATTTCCAATAAATTTAATGCTGTATATTTCTAAATGTGAGGAATTCTCCCCCCCCCATGAGCAATTTAGAAATCTAACAGAAATCTATCTCTCTCTGTCTTGTCTCTCTTTGTCACTCTCCACCCCATTCCCTGTGTGTGTGTGTGTGTGTGTGTGTGTGTGTGTGTGTGTGTGCATGCGTGTGTAGCGTGTGTGTGTGTAGGATTGGATCAACTATTCATGTCATTTGTGGAAGATGCTAATCATTTGTCAGGTTGAGTATATTGAGTACCTGGGGCAAACTTGACATAGCTGATGTTTGGAGCTGATGAATTCCAAGGATATCTTGATGCAGAATGCTACCTTTTTTCTCTTAAATAAAATTCAAGTGTCAGAATAAATATTTTGCACTACAAATGACAATTTTTTCAACTAAATATTCTACTGACCTAAATGCTAATTTCACATAAGAAAAGCTTCACAGATACATGGATACTAGCATTTTACAAAATATACCATTACTGTGTTTTTAACAATATCCATACATAAAATTACCCAGGTCGAAGTTGAATGTTTTCAATGTTTGATTCCATTAAGAATTTTATTCATATCCTAGTTCATCTGGTGATGTGAATTATAGGCTGGTGATCCTTTGATCTAGGTCTAAAATCCATATATGAGTGAGTACATACTGTGTTCCTCTTTTTGTGACTGGGTTACCTCATTCAGGATGCTTTCTTCAAGTGCCATCCACTTGCCTGCGAATTTCAGGATACCATTATTTTTTTTCTGCAGAGTAGTATTCCATCGTGTAGATGTGCCACATCTTCATTAACCATTCTTCAATTGAGGGGCATCTCCTAGGTTGCTTCCAGGTTCTTGCTATTACAAATAGTGCTGCTATGAACATAGTTGAACAGATGTCTTTGATGCATGGATGTGAATTCTTTGGGTATATGCCTAAGAGGGGGATTGCTGAGTCATGTGGTAAACTAATACCAATTTTCCTGAGGAACCGCCATACTGATCTCCAAAAATGGCTGTATGAGTTTGCTCTCCCACCAGCAGTGGAGGAGTGTTCCCCTTTCTCCACATCCTCTCCAACATAAGTCATCATTGGTGTTTCTAATTTTAGCCATTCTGGCAGGGGTAAGATGGTATCTCAAAGATACAAGGTGTATTCTAAGAGATTCATATAAAGTTCCTCTCAGAACTAGGAAGGGACAAGTCCCCCAGAGCTCAGGTGAAGTGCAGGAGGACAGCGAATGGAGACAGAAGTAGGAGAAAATGAGGAGGAGGAAAGGAAAACCTGTGCGACCAGGAAGATTGAGCCTGGTTAGGAATAGAAGATAGGAAAGAGAGAGAGAGAGAGACAGAGACAGAGAGAGAGAACATAAAAGAGGGAGCCAATATTGGTTTGAAGATAAAATTGAACACAAAGAAAGGTCTAGAGAACTACAAGACGGCTCCCAACTAACAATCTCAGCTTCCGTGGAAAGGCTATCATAAATGCCCTTCCCGGAGAGTGAGATCAACAACTAACTTCTCCATGGAGCCCTCAACTAATGCCTGTGGAAAATAGGAGCAAACTGAGTCGAACTAGAACCCAGATGCAGATGGAGAGGACAAGACCAATCTGCAGAAGCACATACAGACAGCTTACCTGAACAAGGAGGAGCTAATGGCCACTAGACTGATAGCTGGGAAGCCAGCATGGGACTGACTCAGGCCCCCCTGAATATGGGTCTCAGGCAGAAGGACTGAGCAGTCTAAGGGACCTCAGACAGTGGAGCCAGGATGTATCCTTGGTGCACAAAGGACTTTGCGAACATATCCCCCATGGAGATATGTCTAGAGACAGGAGAGAAGCCCTAGTCCTTACTTCACAGGACCTGTCAGATCTACATGACCCCAACTGGATGGCATTCCCCTACATATGGAATTGGGGTGGGGGGATGGGAGGGGAGGGTGTTTAGAATGCATGTGAGAGGGCAGAGAGGGTAAAAGGGAGGGAAGGAGGGAGGGAGGGCTAGGGAGGTGGGAGGGAGGGAGAGGGAACTGGGATCGACATGTAAAATAATAAATTAAATTAAAAAAAAAAACTGCTTTGACTCCAAAATTTAAGTTGAAGGTCAAGTTACTGGGGAAAAAGGATTTCTATTTTTGTTTCCACAGAAAATGAAAAGATGTGGATTCCTTCCAGACTAATGTGGTTTGATCACGCCAGACTGCCTGAAACAGAGTGCAAGCTAATCCTACATTCAAATAGCTGGACAAAACAGCCCTACAGACTACAGCCAGTATATCTGAATCTTCTTTGAATCCCCCCAAGACAGAGGCCCTTACCAGCAGGAAGTAGTTTGGAAAGAACGACGCCCAAATTCCCAAATATTGTGTATAAATGTTTGTTTTCATTTAATTGGACTTTGTTATATAAAATTAAATAAAATAAAAAAAGCAAAGGCTTCCAAGAAAAAAAAAAGAATTTTATTCATAA